CACACACACACACACACACACACACACACACACATACACACACATACACACACATTCACACACGTACACACACATGCACACTTACACGCACACATGCACGCCCCTGAATGAATACCAATTGGGAGTTATACATAAAGTACATTAATTAAATTCCAAGGTCCTAGGTGAACACTTCACAGACGCACACAATCTCGTGGCACTCCGTAATGTCAGATGTACAAAGTTCTCTCATCTCAATACCTAGTTTTGAGAAATTGGACGTCAGAATTTTTTAGTTTTTCAATAATATAAAAAGCTTTTGTGAATGCAATTATGAGAATATCTTCATAACGACTCCGAATGTTCTTGTGATTATGATAGAGCAGGTAGAACTTTTGTTTTCTGACTTTATGGTCTTATATATAGTCGTAGCTCAAAATAGCCAAAAATATCAGATAGAGCTTTATAACTCTGGGGCAGCGACTCATCACCTGCATGTTATGACTCAGTCTCAGAAATGTCACCTCACCAAAGAAAAAACAAAACAAAACAACAACAGCAGTAAAGAAAAAAAAAACCTGCTGTCATGTTGGACTGCAGTATGGATGACTCTGGTTTGAATCCCCAAATAAATGTTTTGGCACTCTTGAACTAGGATTGTTTGGTAAATTTACAAAGTATGTCGCACACCCACTAGATGACTGAGACTGGCATCTGTGGTGAATAAGGGGTTTCTTGTGGGCTTGAGGTACGGTGTTTGCCTTTCATTCAATATGTCCAGCGTTTGAAAACTGACAGCGACCGAAAATTTTCTTCTCTAAACATTTCTCCGTTCAACTCTTTTTCACCTTTAAACCATGTTCCTTCGTCTGCTTTCGTCTCCACTTTCTGCCCCCACCCCCTCACCTCCTTTGCCCCCTCCTCTGGACTCCTGACTCTTTCTGCAGCCTTTCTACTGCTTCTTCTTGGCTCCTTCTTACTGCTGTCTTTCAGCCACACTCCTGATCTTCTGGTAGGAAAGATCAACACCTAGCCTCCTCGGACAACGGCGAAAAATCCCGGAGGGCCTGTGTGCAAGTTGCGCACGAGATCCCTCAGTGGTCTAAAATTGACAAGAGTGGGCTTCGGCCGCCACCCAGGCAAAATTCAAAATTTCCTACCAACTGAAAAAGTTTAATGTGTCCCACCCGCTCATATGACTTTATGCAGTTGCGAGCGCCGTAAAACACTAACCAAAAAAAAATGTTTTCGCCCTTGCACGCAGGCGGACTCAAGGGCGCCGCTAACAACAGTAACTCGGTTGCACTGAGGGCATGGTTGCACACGGGGCGAAAAAGGCAAATCGCCCTCTGAAGTCTTTATTTGTTTGTCATTTTTTTATACAGGCACTGTGTGTGCACACACACACACACACACACACACACACA